ACTTTGCTATCCTAGGTACTACCAAAAGTCCAGAGTTTTGTGACCTTAGGGAGCGTGATGGATTGTGGCGTGGTAGAAGACTAGTTAGGTACGCAGGAGCTAACCCATTAAGGGCCTTATAGGTAAGTAATAATATTTTGTAACTGATACGGAACTTAATAGGTAGAACCCTAGCCGCTGCATTTTGGACCACCTGCTTATTGCTTATTGAAGATGCAGGACAACCACCTAGCAGTGTATTACAATAGTCCAGTCTAGAGGTCCATGAACTAGGAACTAGCTTTTCTCCATCAGAAACAGGTAACATGTTTCGTAGCTTGGCAATGTTTCTAAGATGGAAGAATGCTGTTTTTGTAACATGGGAAATATGATTTTCAAAAGACAAGTTGCTATCTAATATAACATCCAGGTTTTTGACTGTAGAGGAAGTAACAGTACATCCGTCTAGTTGCAAATTGTAATCCAAGAGATTCTGTGTACTGTTTTTTGGTCCAATAAGCAGTGTTGGGAAGGTTACTTTGGAAATGTAATAGGTTACAGATTACAAGTTACCCTACTTAAAATGTAATTAGTTTTAAACATAAACCAGGCAGGGTTAACCTAACAGCAGTCCTCAACTGCCAACACTGATTCCTGTCAGACTTTCAAAATCCTTCATCACTTAAATTAAGATTATAATATTTTAATTTTAAAGGAGACATTGGATGCAAAATTCACTTTTACATGGTGTTTGCATAAATGTATCTTAGCAGTGTGTGGACACAACCACCCTATAAATTAATTAATTTTTTGTTAGATACTGTGCCTAAATTATATAGATTTAGTAAATGTGATGCAGCTGTTGTACCAATACAACAACAACAAAAATTGTTAATTGTTTATTAGTTATTTTGTTTCCTTCAATGCACTGTTAACTAATTTACCCAATGCTAAAAATCCATTCACTCCTTTTTTTTAATCCCCCAAAAACCTAAACTCAAATATCAAGCCGTTTTGATTTTCTGAGCAGTATGATGTCATATTTGCTCAGGCCCCTCCCACGACCGCTGACTGTCCCATATTAGCATACTTTCGCCCTCAGCCAGTTGTACGAAGTCCATCATTTTCTCCGCATTCGAGCCCCTGTAGCGACAATGTCTTGTAAGCGATGCAGGTGTTTTGTGGTTTTGTGATGTAGAAGAACATACAGTAAGTGTTATTTTTTTCCCGACATCAGAGCCACTGAGGACGCAGTGCATTAGTTTTGTTTTTGATGGTAATGCACCACCGAATACACCTAAATTAATTTATGTCTGCGCAAGTAATTTTACTCCAGACTGCTTTCTGAATGAGGGACAATTTAAGGCATGTTATGTTAAAAAGTTAAAACTCAAGGATAGATCAGTACCCATTGTTTGTGATCCAGCTGCACTTCCAGAAGTAGTAAGTGTCACACTTTATACTTTTTTATAATTACTTGCAAATCGCCTTTGCTCTTCCATGAAAGAGAGGGGTGGGGTGAGCAGAGCTCATTAGCATTTAAAGGAACATGCCCCGAAACAAACCGCTGTAAACAGAGCAAGCTTAAATAAGGGTGTTGTGAGGAATTTTAACCAAAGTATGTTGCAGACATGACAGGAAATACTGTCTGGAATCTAACAATGCCTTGGAGAAAACAGTTCATCTTAAAAAAATGACGCATAGCTACATAAACCCATAAAGGAAATAAAAGAGTTATCGAATAAGCATGTTCTAAACTCCTGAAACATTGGTGTTTCATCTTTTAGAGCAGTCACTGCAATTTATGAAAGAAATCAATTAAATCTGTGTGTGAAAAAAAATCAGATGTAACCCCCTTTGTAATCCTTAATATTTTCATAAGTAACTGTAATTGAATTACACATTTATTCTTAGTAACTGTAACTGATTACAATTACTTTTATTTTGTAATTAAATTATGTAATTACGTAAAAATACGTAACATGTAACTAGTTACTTCGCAACACTGCCAATAAGTAATATCTCTGTCTTATCTGAATTCAGTAGGAGAAAATTATTGGTCATCCAATCTTTTACATTTTTAACACACTCTGTTAGCTTAGATAACTTAGAAGTTTCATCTGGTCTTGTTGAGATATATTGTTGAGCATCATC